ATGACATGCACTCAGAATGACGTGCATCCAACAAACTCCCCCTCATACTAACGGACTGCATGCACATATACTCACACAGATGCTAACTCTCATGCACACAATCACACATGCACTCATGACACTGCTGCCCACACTAGTGCAATGCCATGCCACACATCTTAGCACACTTCCAATGTGCGCTCTCGGGAAGTCTCTGGGTGAGGCAGATGGTGAGAAAATCTGCCGCCTGCTTGCTAGCTTTCACATTGTGAAGCTCAACAATCCCCTCTTTCACCATCTGCCTCACCCAATGCCACTTAATCTTCATATGCTTGTTCAGCCCATTGAGGATAGGATTATTTGCCATGCCAATAGCAGCCTCGCTGTTAGAGAAAAGTGGTGTAGGTCCCTCCTGTTCTGCTCCCATGTCCTCCAGCAGCTTCCTCAAGAGCACGATCTCCTTGATGGCATGGTACATCGCCATGTACTCTGCCTCTCCGGAAGACTGGGCAATCTCACTCTACTTCTTGGACCTCCAGCTCACTGGTCCACCTCCGACCATGCACACAATGCCGCCAACCAATGAATGATCCTCATCCTCTAAGGCCCATGTGGCGTCGGTGAAGCACGACAGCTTCAAGGTTCCAGGCGTGACCCCATCTGCTCCAATCTGTTTCAGCTGGCCGCCAGCTGAAAACTGAACACCAGCAGATGCCGTTGATCCAAGGTAGCGCACCAAGCGCTTTGCCACCTCCAACTGCTCCTCAGTGGGCCGCTGCACAACTCTGGCCAGCTGCCCCACTCCGAATGAAGCATCAGGTCGCGTATGCACAGCTGCATACATCACACTCCCAATGAGTGACTAGTACTCATTCTGCTGCTCATCCTCGAGTACATCATCCTCCTCAGCTGCCTTCTTCAGTTTGAAGCCCGCAGGTAATGGTGTCATCACAGTGCGACCCCCAGTCACACCATACCGCTCCATGACACCAGAGATGTAGTGTGACTGATGCACCTTCAGCCACCTCCTCTCAACATCCCTCTCAATCTGCAGCTCCAAGTAGTAATGGACATCCCCCAGCATCTTGCACTTGAAGTTGTCCATCAGCAGCTTCTGTGTCCTCTCAATCTGCTCCATGGAGGGTGAGAACAGCAGTATGTCATCGACATACACCAGCAGCAAGAGCAGCTGCTCCCCCTCTCCAAGCAGAAACAAACTGTGATCCGCCTGGGATGTCTTGAAGCCTCCACTCAGCAGCACCTCCTCCAGCTTCTTGTACCAACACCTGGGCGCTTGCTTAAGGCCATAGATGGCCTTCTTAAGCTTGCACACCCGGCTGGTCCCATCCTCATAGCTGTCGGGCTGGGCTATGTAGAAATCCTCCAGCAGTATTCCATTGAGGAACGCAGTGGTGATATCCATCTGCTTCACGTGCCATCCCTTCGCAGCTGCGCCAGCCATCAAAGTCCTCAGTGTTATTGGCTTAGCAACGGGAGCGAAGATCTCTCCAAAGTTGACCTTCTCTTTCTGCTGAAACCCCTTGGCGACCAAGCGGCTCTTGAACCGCTCCAACGCACCATCAGCTCCACTCTTCACCTTGAAGACCCACTTGCTGCTGATCGGCCGTCGCCCCTCGGGTAACTCAACAAGCTCCCAAGTCCCATTCTCAATGAGACTGTTGAACTCCGCATCCATGGCAGCCTTCCACTCCTCCTTCTGGGGTCCACTGAGTGCCTCCTCCACTGTGGCAGGTTCTCCAGGCAAGGGTGTGAAGAAACAGAATGCCATCTCCTCATCCTCCCCCTCATCCGCCTGAACCGCCATGGCACCTTGCTTGGGTCCTCCCAAACGACTATACTTCAGCCTTGAGGGTGCTGCTACCACTCTCTTCTCGCGGGTTGCAATCTGCTGCCCATGTGGTGAAGCTCCTCTCTGCATACTCCTCTTGGTGACCTTGGCGTTTGCAGCAAGCTCAGGCTGAGTTGGTGAGTCCACACGTGCCGACTCATCCTCCAAACCCCTCCTCTCCAGCAGGACCAGAAACTTGCTTCTCACCACCGCCACTGTGGTCACTGGTCAGCTCTGACCCAGGGAGATCCTCAAGGTGCAGCTGAACCTCCTCCACTGCAGACCGCTCAATCTCCTGCAAACGCAAGCCAATTTGCACCTGCTGCTGCTGCTGCCAATCCTTGTACATGACGTCCTTCACAAAATTGACGTCACGACTGACCAGCGTCCTCTTGCTCTTCGGGTCCCACATCAGCCACCCCTTCGAGTCAGGAGCCATCCCAAGATGGACAGCCCACATGGCAGCAACTTCCAGCTTGTGCCTCTGCTCCTTAGGCACCATCACAAGCCCCATGCAGCCCCATACCCGCAGCATGTCAATGGATGGCTTCTTCCCAAGCCAACGCTCTTACGGCACCCAATGCTTGTCGCCAACATGAGTCAAGACCCTGTTCTTGACCGTGACGCCATGGCGAACGGCATCAGGCCAGAACTTGTAGGGCATCCCAGCAGCCCCCAACAAGGTCTTAGCCGCCTCGCCAATGGTCCGGTTGGCACGCTCAGCAATGCCGTTCTGCTGCGGTGTTCCAGGGCAGGTCAGCTGATGTCGGATGCCATTTCTCTTGAGGAACTTGGTGAGTTCCGCTCCAAGGAACTCTCCACCTCGGTCGCTCCTCAGCACCTTCACCAGCCGCATCGCTTGCCACTCCACCATCGGCAACCAATCCTCCTTGATCGCCGCTGCAGCATCGCTCTTCTTGGACAAGGGACGCGCCCCACGTGAAACGGCCCCATTTGTCCACCATGGTAAGGAAGTACAGCACTCCCCCAGTCCCCTCAGTCCTTGTTTTTGCCCTTCCACTTCTTCTTGAAGCCACTCTTTCCACCTCCAACTCCATAGCCAGCCCCCTCCTCCGAGCGCTCCACACTCCGCTACCGCAAGTCATCCTCTAGGATGCGCGCGCGCGAATGTAATCCATGCTCCATTGGGGTTGTTGGGAGTTGAGGTTGATCGCTAGGGCAGACCACGACTCTGGCAGCCGTATCACGATCTCCACGCATTGCACGAGCTCCGGGTACACCACACCGCCTCCTTGGAGCTTCGTGAAAATGTCCCGCATCTCATCCAACACCGGTTGCATCGGCTCTCCATCAACGAACTTGATGTCGCGCAGCCGCCACGCGAGTAGCACGATGCCGGTAGCATGTGTCGGTGAGTGCACATCCAGAAGCTTCCTCCAAGCCTTGGGGCCACACTCTGGATCACCCAAGAGGTCCTTGATGTGGTCAAGTAGTCGTCCGCCAACCGCTTGCACCATGAGCATGTACGCGTCGAACGATCGCTTCATCCACGCTCCTTTCAGCTCCGCGGCCTCCGGCATCTTCTCCTTCCCCTCCACCAGATCCAATAGCTTGTATTGGGTTGTACATCAGCCTCATGCGGAAGCTCCAGTGCTCGTAGTCCTCCCCCATGAAATTCTCAATAGAGAACGCCTTCACGGGATCCACGGTTGTTGGAGATGGTGTAATAGACGTAGGTAGCGTAGGGCTGGCTGGTTGGTAAGTCCCCACTCCTCCACCAGCAACCCCCCCCTGCTCTCCAGCCTCTCTACTTCTATCCATCTTGCCACTAGCACCTCCGGAGTTCGTACCAACCATATTGAGGCCTTATGAACGGTGGAAACTTGAGAAATCGTTTGGAGAGAATTCTGCCAGAAATTTCGATTCTACGAAAAACGTTGTCGCGGACTAGATAATTTGAATTAGAACGCGATTTGACCACCAATCAAACGTTCGCAAGCAGAGCTATTAGACAATGGTCTCACTCGACATCATTGGTTAAGAATTCATGACGATTCGTGTCTCGTAGTCGACTACCCGCTCTGATACCACTTGTTGTTCAGGATCCGTCACTTTGAGAACTTACGACGAACTCATTACTCAACTAAACGCAAATCCGCTCAGTAGGATTGTGCGCCTTAGGCTTAGATACCATCTCCAAGTTGAATCAGTCTTTAAGATGGTCTAGAGAGTGAGAACCATGTAAAAACGTCAACAGCCGCATAACTAGAATGGTAGAGGAACTACAAGCATGTAGGCATAGAAAGTTGGAGTTGGGAACCTCCAAGAGAACCATGAGAGGGAAGGGGTTCTCCAAGAGCTAGGGAAGGATGGTAGGAACCTTCCTAACAGCAAGGATGCAACCCTCATCATGAGGTCCTTGAGGTGTCACATGCAAAATCCAATCTAGTTGGATTTTGCCTAGGTGTTGCAAAATTTGCAACCCATGCTAGAAACTTCTAGCCACCCCAATCCAAAAGTCAAATTTGCCTTCCCTAACCACCCAACCAAAGATCCCTTTATATTCATGTCCAAGTAATCACCCAAATTAGATATAACCCCAAAAGGTAATAAGAAATCCAAGTCTTGGAAATCTTGTAACTTGGGCGATCTTGGTCGGAATAAGGCGATCTTGGTATCGTTGGAAAGCTCTGGATTTCTCCTGCATGATCAAGCATTTAGACTTGGAGAAAAACACAGAGATGACAATATCCAACAGCCATGCATAATTGACATATGCTCATGCAAATCATGCAAGCACAAATAGCACGAGCACTCGGCAGGACGTTAGGATGACATGCACTCAGAATGACGTGCATCCAACAAACCTCTCATCTATCTCCTTCACCAGGTGATGACCCCGTTGGCCAGCTGAAGAGAGGAGCTGTTGAATTGAATCCCAGCACGGGTTCCGAGCGTGTTTTTTTTGAATTCTCGGAATCCCAGCACGGGTCCGAGAAGGCCGCGAGGATGGGCAGACCCCTCAGCAATGCGATACTAGCCCATCCCCATCCCCCCAGCTGTGCATTACCGCACACACCCATCTCCCTCACCAGGTGATGACTCCATTGGACAATTGAAGCGACGAGCTGCTTTGAATCCCAGCACGGCTCTGAGAAGGCGACGAGGATGGGGTAGACCCAGTTCGTGGTGGCGCTGCTCTCACTCGCGCTCAGCTGCACCGTTGGGCGCGTGGTGTCTGGTGGTTGAAGGGCAGAATAGTGGCGAAACGGAAGCGGGAGAGGGAAAAGTGGGGGCTGAGAGCTGCATGGTAGAGAGGAAGGAGAGATGGTGAGAAGGCGACGAGGATGGGGTAGACCCAGTCTGTTGTGGCGCTGGTCTCGCTCCCGCTCAGCTGCACCGTAGGGGGTGTGGTGTCTGGTGGAGAGGGGGGGTGGATGGGGGGGGGGGGGGGAATGGAAAAAGCAGGTTAGGTGGGGGCTGTGAGCAACACGGGGGGAGAGGAGAGAGGGCGAGAAGGCGACGAGGGATGGGGTAGACCCAGTCCGTGGTGGCTCTGCTCTCACTCGCAATACGCCATCAAAGAAGGAGAGGGGGGACTGCGTTGGGATGGCAGGTGGAAGAACAAAAAGCGTGACATGGAGAGCACCACAGAGAGTGGGGTGGGTGGAGGCGGGTGGGGTGGGTGGAGGGCGGGTTGGAGTGGGTGGGCTCAGACAAGGCTTACCAAAGAAGAAGAAGAAGAAGAAGGGCTGTGTGGGCTGGCAGATGTTCCCAGCAACATCGGTGACATTCTCATGCCGTATGTCCACCACCACTGAGCCTTTGCCGTGGGCCACACCCTGCATATCACATGCCATCAGGAACAGGAGAGACATGGCAAGACTGGTGGTTGAGGCAAGCACAAGAGCGCGCAGCATCGGAGACGTTCATATCCACATGGCTGAACCCTTGCCCGTGGCCACACACACACACACCCGCCATACGCCATCAGAGAAGGACGCAAGGGTTCAATGGTGGTGACGCAGGGCAGAGTCGTTGGAGTGGCTACAATGCAGAGACTGGCTTGGAGAAGAGCACCCGGCAGGTCACAGACGACTAGGAGACCCTTAAAGCGTGACTCTTGCTGGCATTGACTGACTCACAGTAAAGCCATCAAAGATTCCACTTGAACCTCCAAAAAAAAAGGAATGGAAACAAAGAGGAAACCCACCCACCTGAAATTGGTACTCCAGGTCGGTCACGTGTTGGGGGTCACTGGTGGTGGCGTTGGCGACAGCGAGGACGCGGAGGAGAAGGAAGAGACGGGCTTGGAGAATGAGAAGAGCACTTAGCAGGTCACCGGCGACTGGTCGACTCATAGAGCCGTTACCCTGGCATTGACCGACTCACAGCAACCCACCTAAACATGGTACACCCTAGTCCACTGCAACTGAAACTCACCTGGAACTCGGTACTCCAGGTCGGAGACAGATTGGGGGTTGCTGGCGGTGGCGTTGGCGATAGCGAGGGACGAGGAGGGGAAGGAAGAGACGGGCTTGGAGAAGAGCACCCGACACGTCACGGGCGACTGGGAGACTCGTGGCGTGGCTCTGAGCTGTGTGAAGAACTTGACCACCGCCAAGGCGTGTCGCAGGTGAGAGTGGCCTCCAGAGGGGCGCGGTCTGGAGGGGTGGAAAGGGGGAGAAAGTGGGACGGGAGCGGAGGGGGAAAGGGGGGGGGAAGTCAGCAACTTATTCACCCGCGGCCTGCTCTGAGCTGAGCTGTGTGAAGAACTTGACCACTGCCAAGGGCGTGTTGCAGGTGAGAGTGGTCCTCAGAGGGGCGCGGTCTGGGAAGAGGGTGGGGAGGGGGAAAAGGGGGTTTAGAGGCCGGCTGCTTGCTGCGTGGCTCTGAGCTGTGTGAAGAACTTGACCACTGCCAAGGGTCGTCGTCACAGGTGAGATGGCTCCAGAGGGGCGCGGTCTGGATGCGGGGAAAGAGGAGTGAGGAGGGGGGGTGGTTGGGGGGATGTTAGGGCTGGGTGGGCTGAGTGTGCTGTTAACGAGGGGCTCTTGAGCGGCGTGGAAATCCATTGTGGAAGGCATGTCCCAGGACGAGATGGCCTCCAGAGAGAGGGGGGGGGGTGTGGGTTGGAGGAGGAGATAGGGCTGGGGGAGGTTAGGGTTGGGTTGGGTTGGGTGGGGTGGGTTGAGAATGGCATTGTAAAGGCATGGCTAGGAAAGGCATGGGTAAAGGCATGCGAGGAAGGGAGGCACATGTCTACTCGTGCACATGCAATCACACTATCAAGAGGCACTGGGCTGAAAAGCAGGGGAACTGGGGGGCATAGGGGCACACGTGATCTACTCCATCCATTCTCTTCACTGTGGCAGTCGTCTTCACAGCAGGCAAGCTTTGGCCTTTATGCACGTCCGCTTACCTATCCTGATGACGGCATAAGAGCCAAACCCCGCCATCCATGCCCTCCCACTCGAGTCAGCACAGCTGCCCGACCTTAAAGCCACAGTCACAGCGGCAGCACTAGCACTGCCACCGCTGCTGCTGGAGGTTCCGTTGCCGGTGGAATTGCTGCTGTCGTTAGAGCTGCTGCCCCCACTGCTGTTGCTGCTGCTGGTGCTGGTGCTGGTGGTGGTGGCGGGTGGCAGGGTGGCAGTGAGGGAGTATCGATTGTGCCGTCATCTGACGCCAGGAACGAGGAGGGGTCGATGCTCACTATGCCCTGCGGTGATGCCTGCACCTGACCTGCGTGAGCGAGAAGGGAGAGGGAGAAAAAGGGAGAGGGGGTAGGGAGGAGGTGAACGAGTAGAGGAGGGGTCGATGCTCACTTTGCCCTGTGGTGATGCCTGCACCTGACGTGCGTGAGTGAGAAGGGAGAGGGAGAAAGGAGGGGGGGGTGGGGGGGAGAAGGAGGGAGAGGAGGTAGGAAGACGGTAAACAAGGAGGGGTCAATAGGCACTATGCCCTACGGTGATGCCTCCCTGGGGTAGACTGTACACACTGAGGCTACACAAACAGCAAAATCTGGTCCAAACAGTACATGGTGTATACATCTCCTCCATTTATTTTTCATGAAGAGCGACGTATATGCAGAAAGAAGCAATCACGTACACCGCATGCAGAGGAGTTGCACTACAGGCCTGGGCAGGGCTTGTCAAAGGCGATGCTGATCTGCACCGACCCCTCCCTCGCCTGTGGCTTTTGAGGCATCTAATATGAGCTAGGCATATGCATGGAGAAGCAACCACGTACGTCACAGGAAGTGGAGGTGCACTGCAGGCCCGGCCCGGGCTCGGCTTGTCAAAGGCGATGCTGATCTGCACCGACACCCCCCTCGCCTGTGGCTTTTGAGGCGCCTAAAATGAGCAAGGCATATGCATGGAGAAAGAAGCAACCACGTACGCCGCAAGCAGTGAAGGCCCTCCCTCCCTTGCCTGTGGCTTTTGAGGCGTCTAGAAAGAACGAGGCACATACAAAGTGTAGCAATCACGTACGTTGCACGCACTAGAGTTGCACTGCAGGCCCGGGCATGGCTTGTTGAAGGCGATGCTGATTTGCACCGACCCCTCCCTTGCCTGTGGCGGGTCCACTGTTAGCGTTGGCACCGGACTGGCCGCTTTTGATGGGAACCACGTGATTGGAAGCAAGGGGAAAGGGAAAGGAAGGAGCAGAGAAGTGCATTTCAGAGGGCGAGATTTCGGTGGAGTTGCACTGCAGGCCCGGGCAGGGCTTGTCAAAGGCGATGCTGATCTGCGCCGACCCCTCCCTTGCCTGTGGCGGGTCCACTGTTAGCGTTGGCACCGGACTGGCCGCTTTTGATGGGATGGGAACCACGGGATTGGAAGCAAGGGGAAAGGGAAAGGAAGGAGCAGAGAAGTGCATTTCAGAGGGCGAGGTTTCGGTGGAGTTGCACTGCAGGCCCAGGCAGGGCTTGTCAAAGGCGATGCTGATCTGCACCGACCCCTCCCTTGCCTGTGGCGGGTCCACTGTTAGCGTTGGCACTGGACTGGCCGCGTCTAACGAGAACCAAGGGGAAAAAAGGGCGGAGAACGGCGGAGGAGGGGAAGAAGGGAGGAGACGAGGACAGTGGAGCGTTTCAGAAGGCGGATTGCAAAACGGATAAGTAGGAGCTGCGTCCTCCTGACCACAGTCTCATCTCATGCGCTGCAATCGCACAGTGAAGGTGGCCTTTGAGACATCTCAAAAGCCACCTGAAACCGCCCACATCTCCTGCGCTGCGCTGCAGTCGAACATTTTTTGAGAATTCTCAAAAAGCCACCTGAAACCGCCCACATCTCCTGCGCTGTGCTGCAGTCAAACGTTGAACAAACGGCGGTGCTCCGCTCTGCAGATGTGTATAAAAGCCGATCAGGCCACCTAACAAGAGGAGAGAAACGAGTAGAGAAGCTTACCAACGACCCATTCATATGATGTGGCCTGTGCTTGCGCCTCCACCTGTTTTTTTAGAATTCTAAAAAAATAGAAGCTTACCAGCGACCCATTCATATGTGGCCTGTGCTTGCGCCTCCACCTGCGCCCCTCCTCTTCCTCCCCCTCCCCCTCCCCCTCCCCCTTCCACCCCTCCTCCCCACTCTCCGCCCATCCCAACATCAGCAGTGGCGGCCTGCAGGCGGGTGCCAGTGACCCCGGCGCGCCCCTGAGCGCGGTGACTGTGAAGCGGTTGGGACCGTCCGTGAGGCCGGCTGCTGTGAACCACCCGCGCGGGCAGGGGAAGCTGGGGAGGGCGTCCAGCTGGGGGGGGCGGAGAGGGGCAGAGGAGGAGGTAGGAGAGCGGTTGAATGGTGAAGCGGTGGGGGCCGTCCGTCAGCCCGCGTGCTGTGAACCACCCCTGGGGACAGGGGAAGCTGTGGAGGGCGTCCAGCTGTGAGGGGGGGGGGACGGCAGGGAGGGGAGGATAATGATGGGTTTACTGTGAAGCGGTGGCGGCCGTCCGTGAGGCCACGTGCTGTGAACCACCCCCTCGGACAGGGGAAGCTGGGGAGGGCGTCCAGCTGTGAGCGGACGGGGAGAGGAGTAAGGGGAGGAGAAGGGGATGAGCTTGTGCGTGGGTTCACAGGTGCAGGCGGGGCGGGTGCCAGTGACCCCCGGCGCTCCCCTGAGCGCGGTGACTGTGAAGCGGTGGGGACCGTCCATGAGCCCGCGCGCTGTGAACCACCCCGCGGACAGGGGAAGCTTGGGAGCGAGTCCAGCTGCGGATGGGGGGTTGACGGGTGGGGAGGATGGGGAGACAGACGGGGAGGCGGGCGGGGAGGCGGAGGGGGAGGGAGGTGTGGGAGGACAGGGAGGGGAGGAATGGCAGGGTAAGGGGAGCTAGGGAGGGGCGAGAGTGAGTTGGGAGAGAGAGGTGGGAGAGGGAGGTATGGAAAAGAAGCATATGCTTAAAAATGTGTGGGAGAGGACTCTTGCAGAGGTGCTCTGACATGACCCCACTGCTTGCTTTGACATGACCCCACATGCTTTGACATGACCCCACATGCTTTGACATGACCCCACATGCTTTGACATGACCCCACATGCTTTGACATGACCCCACATGCTTTGACATGACCCCACATGCTTTGACATGACCCCACATGATTTGACATGACCCCACATGCTTTGACATGACCCCACATGCTTTGACATGACCCCACATGCTTTGACATGACCCCACATGCTTTGACATGACCCCACATGCTTTGACATGACCCCACATGCTTTGACATGACCCCACATGCTTTGACATGACCCCACATGCTTTGACATGACCCCACATGCTTTGACATGACCCCACATGCTTTGACATGACCCCACATGCTTTGACATGACCCCACATGCTTTGACATGACCCCACATGCTTTGACATGACCCACATGCTTTGACATGACCCCACATGCTTTGACATGACCCCACATGCTTTGACATGACCCCACATGCTTTGACATGACCCCACATGCTTTGACATGACCCCACATGCTTTGACATGACCCCACATGCTTTGACATGACCCACATGCTTTGATATGACCCCACATGCTTTGACATGACCCCACATGCTTTGTCCCCCGAGGAGAGCACGCATTGCAGCGATGTGAAGCGAAAAAGAGAAGGAGAAAAGTGGAAGAGGTGGGGAGACACGGGGTAGTGAGGGAGGAGGGAATGGCGATGAGCCGGGGTAAGGGCGGGGGGGACGGACCTTGTTTTTTAGTCGACTCAAAAAGAGGTGGGGAGACACGGGGTACTGAGAGAGGAGGGAATGGCGTCTAGCCGGGGCAAGGGCAGGGTGGGACGGACCTTGCAGACGGGAGGGCAGGGGGGACGAAGACGCAGCATGCAGATAGCGGGACAGGGGGGGAGGTGGGGACGCACCTTGCAGAGGCAGGTGCGGGAGGGGGGACGGGGAGAGGGGGCTTGCAGAGGTACCTTTACAGAGGTACCTTGCAGAGGGGGAGGGGGGTTAAGGGGGGACGCACCTTGCAGAGGAAGGTGCAGGTGTCACAGCGGGCGGGCGAGCGCAGAGGGAGAACAGGAGCGCAGCATAAGTGGAGAACAAGGGGAGACCGAGTGCAGGAGGGGGGCCGCACCTTGCAGAGGAAGGTGCAGGCGTCACAGCGGGCAGGCGAGTGCACGCCTGTCATCTCCAGCGCGTGCCACGAGAAGCGCGCACGCCCCACCTTCGCCACGCCCCTTGGCCTGCGCACAAACAACACCACCAATGTCGGCGCGGACGCTACAGGCGCTACAGGCGCTACAGGCGCTGCGGACGCTGCGGGCGGTAGGGGAAGCACAAAGGCTACAGGCCACGCGGATGATGTGGACAAACGCGCCTCCAGTGCACCAAACGCCGCGCCACCACCGGCCCAACACTACCACCACCACCACCAGCACCGGCTGTAGCGGAACCAACAGCTGTAGCGGCGCCAGAAAGAGCCTGCTCCTGTAGCGGCTGGCCTGGCTGCGGCTGCTTGAGGCCAACTGGCACAAGCACGGCCGTGAGCCGAACGGTTGCCTGTAACACCTGATAGGGTAACTGCTCAAAGCCCCCACAGAGCCGACACGGCTGTGCGACCGCCGCGGACGCTGTCACTGTAATGGTCAGCGTCACGTTGGCGATAGGGTTATCAGCAGGGTTACTGCTGTTACTGCTCGCTGCGTTGCGACTGGTCGCAGGCAGAGCGGCAGCAGGCAGAGCCCAGGACACGTCCCCCATGTAGCACGTAACGGGCGGGTGCCGCCGCACCGACCCACAGGCCTGCACGGCCTGCTGTGAGCATCTCGCGGCCATTAACGCGTATGGACTGTACCGTCCGGTCGGGCCAGTCAAAATCGGTCGGGACTACACCCACTGCGAGAACGTAGGTGAGTCGCCACTTCGTGCTGTTGTAACTATAACTGGAACTGTAACTGTTGTTTGCATCAGCCTGCGACGGTAACAGCCCGGTGGAAACCGACACGGTGCAGATTGGTCCAGCTCCCCTTCCTGCCCCAGTGTTCTGCGCCCCTCCCGCGCTATCCCCGCGCCAGCTCCCCCCGCGCCGGTACCCCCGCGCCGGTGCGCCCCGGGAGCGGCCCTATGACGGGGTCGTCCTGGCGGCGGTTGGGCGGAACGAGCGGGGAGGCGCAGAAGGTGTCGACGAATGAGAGCACGCGGTAGGTT